AAATGCGCATATTCCAGTGTCCGTTTGACCTAAGTACAGTAGTTGTCGATTTAAATTTAAATACGAATAAGTGGAATGAGCAAGTCAGCCCTTTCCGTAGAAGACATTTCCGTGTTTTTTCCTAATTTTTAAAATTTCGTAAAAAATCGACAAAAATTGAAAGTCGGCGGAAAAATTCGGCGAAAATTAAATCAGCGGAGGAAAATCGCAACGGAAACATCGGATTTCCGCTAAAATTCGGAAAAGTCACATCCCTGATATATATACATATATATATATATATACATATATATATATATATACATATATATATATATATACATATATATATATATATACATATATACACATATATACATATATACATATATATACATATATACATATATATATATATGTATGTATATATATGTATGTATATATATGTATATATGGTGCTTATTAACTAAAAAGTACTATTCTTAGCAGCTAAGTTCTGTTGTATCCTCTCTGATGATATCAGATACAGAAATTTGTAGTGCATTCTGCCATATAGTTAGGGAAGGGTTAAAATATGTTGAGTGTTGTTTCTAAGTTGGTCTAATGGTATTTTGGAAAAAAATAAAATTACTCACCAACATAATGAATAGGAAATATGCCACGATATAAATGTGCTTGGCGTGCAGTTTGTGCATTTCTGGTGACAGCTAAAACAGGACACCTTGGGCGATATGCAGATACTAGGTAAGCAGATCTGAAATATGTTAAAAATGAAATTATCAAGGGAAATTTTTAACAGGCATTTTATACAAAATAGGTTTATGTCATAGTTACTAAATTGTATTTAAATTAATTTAAGTGGACATTTTAAAAAAAAAATTTCAAATAAAATGCAGAATTGTCCTTATTAATCCAATGTTTATTCTTAGAGAAAAATTTCAATATTTCTGTAAAGCTATTGCTTAAAGATAGTAGAACTTTATAACTATATGAATTTAGTGGCGGCTGCTGCGGAAACGGGAGCCATTTTACTTTTTTCTTTAAGGATGTCCTACTTTTATTATACATATTTAAAATTCGTCTTAAGAAGCTGAGTAGCTGACAACGTATGCAATATGTCTAACCTATTTTGAGAAGAGGGTTTGAGTAAGCCGCAAAATTTTAACTTTTTAGTACTGAGTATTATTTTTAAACGTAAAATCAAAAATAAAATTACATATTAGTTGTGGATTTTAATTCCATTATAGATCTAATCAGAAACTTTAGTTTTTTAAAAAGAGATTTAGCTTCAAGAACGAGCGTATTTTTAAAATTATGTAGATCCATTTGACAATAAGTAAAATTAGGTCACTTCTCCCAGATTCTTAGATCTTTTTAATTATGTTTAAGTCATTTGATCTATTATAAGTGGGGCTAAAACGACTGCATCTATCATTAAATTGTTTTATGGACCAGTTCTAATCATACATTCTGTTCATACTACCAATTTTAATGTATTAGGCCCTAACAAATAGTTCACCAACTCTACACTATATGAATTAGGCCATGGACAGTCATAACTTAATGTTTAAAATACTAAACAATTGTAATTAGCCATGTAAATGCTGCAACTATCATAAAAATTGGTTTAGAGACATTTTACTAACAATATTTTGTATATATTCAACTCTGTCCTCAAACACACAAGCAAAATTTCGGACACTTCTAACTAAGAGATCCGGCTTAAAGTTGGCTCGTGGGTCAAGGCATGAAGACAACGCAATCTGACTTTAAATATTACTGAATTGGTTGCCTAATTAATTTTTTATGAATTAATTAAAATTTTGTCCAAATTAGTAGACTGTCTAATCCAACTATTCTGCAGTATAATACACGCGTCATTCCATTAATTAGGTGCGCAATGGTTTTCAGTCATGCAACTTTATTGTACACAGAAATTTTAAAGTACTGAAAAAAAATACATAAAAAACGTTTTAATAACAAGCTTCTATGTAATAAAGCACTAAAAAGAAGAAAATAAATTATACACTACTATTTAAATAACTATAAAGAAAAGCGTGAGTCACTTTAGTATCTATTGGATACCTTTACATCTTCTTCGTTCTTAATTTTTAGTGTTGGGAGGGATCGAGCCTTATCTGCCAGAGGGTTTGAACTCGAGACTTTTTTCAAATTTATCAACCATGAGCTTTGCCGACTCGGCCATGCTTCTGTCACAATTAAGGATTACGTGTCAACTGGTTATGTGCCATTGAGGCCATTGACTCCATTTCAGCCTGCTTTTCTTTTTGGATTTGCTTCCATAGCCTTTGTCCAACCAAGAACAAACTACAAGGCAGAAGTTGTTTGATTTTGGAGTTGTCTCTCCTAGAAGAGTGGCTGTCCCCAGCTAACGAGCCTCATCTGCCCGAGGGTTCAAACTCGAGACTTTTCGGTTTAGCAACCATGAGCTTTACCGACTCGACCTCGCCGAACCACGATACCTTTACTAATATTTAGGAAGAGACCCATGCTTTTCTTCATAGTTATTTAACTAGTAACATATAATTTATTTTCTACTTTTTAGTGCATTATTGCATAAAAGCTTGTTATTAAAACATTTTTATGAATTTTTTTAGTTTATTGAATTCCTAGATTGTTAAACAACAAAATTGATACATAATATGTCAATATTTGTTACTTAAAAAATTGACCCTAAAAGTGGACTTAAAAGAATTGAATCTGTTTTCCACCATATATAATTTTGATAAAGCCCCTTAACTCTTTAAGACAGTAACGATGCTCCCAGCGTTCGATAAAATTTTCTCTATTTAAATTTGTTGTTTTTCAGAATCCAAGTTTTTAATCGTAAATTTAGGTCATGACAACGCTAGAGCAGCCATTTTTTCGTTGTATTTACTTCTTGTAGTTTTCTCGTTAGGCCGATTTATTTTGTAAAACAACTCGCAAAGCATTTTTTAACACTGCGGAAATCCGTTCAGCGGCCGCATCTGTTTACCTCGCCACATTATAAAATTAACCAAAATTACAGTATTTATACTAAGACTAATCCGATCCATGATTTTTGTAGAAAAATTGACGTACTTTCGTTTTCTATGAATAAGAATTCAGGAAAAGTAATTCTTATTAACTTTCCAGAAAGAAGCGTATTTTTTGCCTGAAAAAAATCAACTCTTTATTTTTTCTTCTTTAAAACTAAGTAATTATCTTTCTTCAATAAATAATTACTTAAAATTTATATCATTGTGTAGGCAATTCAATTACGATTAATTTTTATCAATAATGTGTGGGGTATCAAAGCTTTTGTTGTTTTACTTTTTACTGATTTTTATCAGGCTTAAAATTTAGTGCACTGATTTAGCACAGGAATATTACAATAACAATGTAAGGTTAGTTGTACCTGCCAGTTGTTGTAAGAACAATTATGGCAGCAGCCATGCATGTGAATGAAGCTTCAACTGCAGCAATGGCAATTGTATGAGTAGAATCAGTGTACAGTGGAGTCTCACGGCGCAAATCTTCAAACTGTTGTTTATGAAAGATTGCAGACTCGGCCTCTCTACAAATCTGCATAAAGAATAACATTTATTACATATAAAAAAAGGAATAGATCAGAGAACAGTAGTTTATTTTTAAAAATATCTCTTAAGTAAGCTCACCAAGGCTTACGACCGCTCAACCGAAAGTCTCAAGTTCTCTTGCAGGCATGTGTCTATAAGATGTTTTGAGTCCACCCAGCTCTGATGGGCACCTGACTCTCATTACGGAAACTAAGGCAGCTGGCAGTAATACCGACAACACTATCCCCTGTATACAAAGCCCATCCAAGCAGATGAACTCTACTACTTGTGTGCTACCCGGGCTCTGCCCAATTGATATTTCAAATTTTTAAACACAAAAGCCTTTTCTGTAGTGTACTCAACCTCCTGAAATTTCATGGCAATCAGTAACGCAAAACAGACCCACAATTTCATTTATATATATATATACAAATGAAATATATATTATATATATACACACACATATATATATACACAGCACACATATACACACACATATATACAAACATACACACACATATACACACACATATATACATACACACATATATACATACATACACATACATACATACACACACATATATTTATATATACACATATATATACACACGTACACACGCGCACACGTACACACATGTACACACACATGCACCCACACACACATATATACATATACGTACATATATATACATATATATACATATATATTCATATATATATACATATATATTCATATATACATATACACCTATACATTCATATATATATACATATATATATATATATACATATATTTATATATATATATACATACATATATATATACATATATACATATATATATATATATATACATATATATATATATAAACTAATTTAATAAGTAGCCTAGTCTTGTTTCAAAAGATGGAAGCATAGAAAAAAACTTACCCTGTGCATATGCCTGACTGTTTCTAGTGGATATTTTCCTTTAGCAGTTTCTCCAGATAACATAACACAGTCTGCTCCATCAAGCACAGCATTAGCAACATCACTAGTCTCTGAGCGCGTAGCTCTAGGTTTTGTGGTCATACTTTCTAACATCTAAACATTTAAATCCATGATTGTACAAGTGCAGAAAATATCAAAAGATTGAAATTTTGTATAAAATTACAGTTTATAGCTACTTGTTTTGATTCTTGCTCCAAGGTTATTAGATATTTACTATCACATGATTAAAAGGGAATATGGTTTCTCTTTATGATCCGCAGAAATCTATCTTCATAATATGGAGAGAGGAAAATATTTAAACAAGGATCAGTATGTAAAATAATTTTCAGTGTTACAACCAGACATACCTACTCTTAGCAACCAGATGTAGGAACGGTCATAATGAAAGAGATATTTGATGCAAAAAAAGAACAAAAGCAGAAATGCTACTTTGCAACGCCAACAAAAAATTTAAATCATCATTGCATTATACAATGTAGATATGAGCATATGTATAGTTTAAGTACATAGTTTTTTAAATAGCTAGTCACCTACATTTATAAACTAGTTTATTTAAACTTACATTGAAAATAACACCCTGCATCTCTCTGGCTATATATAATATTAAAATATTGAGGGAAAAATACAACAGGCAATAGATATTTCTTTAGTTATCTTTTAACCTCAACTTTAAACTTACATTTAATCTTATCAGTTACCCTACCTTTTACCACGAACCTAAACCACAACTTTAAATGGAAATATCACTGGAACAGGAGCATCGAGTGGAAATGGATATTTAACCAGAATCAGCTATTTAAATAGAACATTAACAGGAAATAGAAATTTAATTGGAACAGGATTTTAACCGCAGCAGGATGTTCAACCGGAACCAGACTTTCAAAAACCAAAAGTTTAAGTGGAACCAGACTCAAAATGGAACCAGACCAGAACTTTAAGCGGATCCTGAAATTTAAAAGGAACTCAACATTTAACCGAAACCTTAAACTTATCCAAAACAGATCCGAACATAAACTTTCACGAGAAATGAACCCTAGGCTCGTCATTTATTTATGGATTTACTGTATTATATAGGACAGAGTGGTCTAGCAGTAGTGTGCTGGACTGCTAACCTTTAAGTCTCAAGTTCAAATCCGGGTTCAAGTCAGTAGACCGTCCCTGTCCACATAACTCTGATGGGTACCTAACTCACGTTAGGGAAAGTAAAGGCGGCTGGGCATAGTGCTGACCATACTATCTCTTCAGTGCTGACCACACTATCTCTTCATATGCCGAGGTCACAGAAACAAGTGAATTCTACCTCACTTGCCCTATAGACCGTCAGGTTTGAAAAGGGAACTTTACTTTTACTTTACTGTATTATGTTAGTCATATAAGTATTTTAAAATTTAAACACACTTTATTCTAGATAAATAAATTAAGTAGTAATTCTTGTGTCAGTATTATCAATGATGGTATTATCTTTGTGCATATTTTCTGGTGTTGCACTTTTTATATTACTTTTAAAAAAATATTTTAAATGTGGTAAATTTCCTAGCATCCAAATTTTATTTTGACTTGTTTGAATATTTTCCTTTTGGTTTCATGTGACATCTGAATAACATACACACGAAATAATGGAACTAATATATATTGTATAGGTTGAGTTAACAGTAATTGACGCTATAGTATAACAAGCTTAAACTATATTATAAACCACAACTACAATTTTAGAGCTTTTTTTTTCATGGCATTTAAAAATAGTCTCACAATGTTAATGTACTAATTAATAGTTAATACAGAGGTAATATTTTATATAAATTTATATTTTATATAAGTTTATGCTACTCTAAATTAACAATGAATGTCCTAATTGCAATGTAATGTTTCCCTTGTAAACAACTTTTAAAAATTTGAATTTTACAACAATGTAAATAAAATTTTATTTTAAGATCAAGCTAATTTTAACTAATTATATAGTTGTACTCTTGGTTTTCAACTTTAAATTATGCCTTATATTCTTAAAGATGGTCGTTGTAAAAAATGTAAGTCTTTAAAAGTAAAAAGCCAAGAAAAATACATCTAAAATTCTAATTGTAATTTGAAAGTTTCAGTTCATGTGATAGAAAATGAAAAAGAGCAGATTAGCTAAAATTAAAAAGTGTCTATTTTACTTTAAAAAGAGTTAGAGAATTAATACTTTTAAAAACATTTGAGCCATTTTTAACCACTTTGATAGTAGCCAAGCCACATAGTTGTTTACGTTTTTAGAAAAACCTTAAACTATTATAAAAAAATTAAAAAATTGTCGGAATGGCATATTTTCTCCCACTAACAAGATTACTGAGTTAATATTAATAGGCCTGCAGTAGCTTCAAAGACACACTTGGGGCCATGGTGAGTTCACATACGTCACTATTGCTACAAAGAGGGAGGGGTGGGTATCAGTCTAGTCCAGGGGTCAGCAACCTTTTGAGACGGAATAGCCAAAAGCTACAATTTTTCCTAGTTTTTAAAGAGCCACTAACAGTTTTTATTTAATACTAGCCTTCCCGGCCAGGCCCTGAAGTGGCCAGTGAAAAAACTTTCTGTAAAAGACCATGACTTGTGTTTATTAAGCAGCATATACCCGGCATTGTCCGAGTTTAGGAAATATATTACTTTTCGAATTAACCCTAACCACAACCAAGCAAAGCACACAAATAGCAATAACACAAACCCAAACAAAATACAAACAAAAAAGTAAACCCAGCCACAAATAGAAACACTAACCTAAATGCAAACATTAACTCAAAATAATGCAAAAGTAAACGCGACCATAAACACAAAATGTAAACAAAGGCATAGTGCTCACAGTCTTGTTCGGGGCGCCTAATCACACCTGTTGGGGCGCCGGCGGAACCACCTGATTCAACTTAGACTATAATACCCCAACTTAACCATAGTCTTTTGCACTCACTTAAAACTAACGTAGGTGCCATAGCACTCACGGAAGGCCCGGGGTGCCAAATAGCACTCTGTTGGGGCACCAGAGAACACCTTGGATTCGATTTAGTGAAGGAATTTAGCAACCCTTCTTATCCATAGAGCCGCAACTTGACATTAAAATAGCCGCATGCAACTTGCAGGTTGCCAACCCCTGGTCTAGTCAGTCATATTTCAAAATTAATTTGAAGTTGCTAAAAAAAATTAAAATGGAAGGTAGAGAGAAACAGAAGAAGGGGAGTTTTAAAAAACAGAGTAAATTAATTAGATTAAAGATAGACCAACATGAACAACATGCAAGATTATGGTAAAGAAAACAGGCTCATGGATGTACTTTATTTGACTGATAATTTTAGCTGAAAATTCTAAAAAAAATAGCAAAATTGAGGAAATTTTGGAAATCTTCAAAAATTTGGCCCAGGTTTCATTGTTATCTAGTACTGTCAGACCTTGTGTAATCACTCAATAGAAAAAAAATGCCTGTATTCAATCAATAGTTTGAATGGGAGTAACAACTAAGAAATTAATAGATCTGGTATAATTACACAAAGGGTAATACTAGATTTTTAATAAGAATGTGTGTGACCTGCCTGTCGGCGGTTTCTGTAAAGCTCATTACAGTTTTTCTTAGAAATTTTAAAAATGTCAAAGGGAATGAATCCCATTTGATTCCTTCATTTCGATTCATGCATTTTTAAAATTTTAGATTTATGCCTTTTTAAATTTTTAAAATTTTGAACAATGAATTTCAACAAGATCACAATGGCGGAACGAGGCATAGTTTAAAATATGCAGTGGAACATTTCTGCTTTTGGCAAGATAGTAGGCTTTTTAGATTTAACTGTGAAAGTTACTTTTTTTTCAAAAGGGGAAAGATCAAAGATACGCAGGCTGAGAAATTCAGAAGTTCCATACATTATCAAGCCAGTTTGTTCACAGGCCTGAAGTGCAAGGTCACCTCTAAGCGGAAGCCTTTTTGTTAAAGTAAATATAACAGCAACAGTTTTAGCATCTTCAGTATTACCTGTGTAGCACATATCACTGGCTTTCCAGCACGATTACAGCAACCAATCATCATCTTTTGTGCCAAAAATACTTTCTCTGGTGGAATCTCAATACCCATGTCACCACGAGCAACCATAACACCATCAGTTTCTTCAAGAATTTCCATAAAACTGTGAAAATAGCAATATACTTTAAAAAGGTAAAAATTATAAACATCTAGGTCTTTGCTTATTTGTAAATGTTTGTAAATATTGGTTAATATAAAATGTCTTATCCTCATTGATTCATAATTTATTTTTGTGACCAAAACTACAACTGACTTGCGAATCCCTTGATGGTTTTCAAGTTTGGCAATTATCTTAATATTGGCGCCTTTAGATCCAAGTACTTTGCGAATTTCTTTAATTCCAGCAGCATCACGTATAAAAGATGCAAAAATCATATCCACCTACAGTGAAAAAAATAAGATGAAAAATCTTTAAATAATAATTCTATTGTCAAAATGATGCTAAGGGTTTAAAGTGCTTTATGAAATTGAAATTCCTGACCTTTCCAGCCCTTAGACTACTCTTTATTAAAGAGTGGATCAAGTTACATGGCCATGCACAATCAGTAATGATTTTCATAGGATATTTTTAATAACAAAAAGGTTATTTTCATTTAGATTGAAAATAACATTGTACATTTTTAAAACAAACTGTTGACGAAAGTGTAAGAACTAAACAATACAAGCAATTAGAAAATATTTTGTAATTTCAATCATAAGAAGTTATGCTGAATAACTTGAAAAATTTAATGAGGTTGTGAAATAAAATAGAAGCAGAGAGAAACCGTAGATTTGGGTAGCTTTAAAAACAGAAGTAGATAAATTAGACTATAGCTAGACTAAAATGCATGCCAGATTAGAGGTAAAGAAAACCAGGCTCAGGAGTTGTTAGTTTCATTTAAAGAGCAGAAACATTTTAGATCACTTGTTTCAGTATTTTGGATAAATATTTAACTAAAAACATCACTCAGTGGAAAAATTCACTAAGCAGAAAAAGTTGGGCAAAAAGAATATGAATTCTGAAACATTTCAAAATCCGCCTAAATTCTAAATCTTGACCAACAATCTTTAATCTTCACACCTAGCACAATCATTTTGTAGAGGACAGTTGCAGGTGAAATGATAAAATCTGATTACCACTAAAAACCTAAAAAACGTCATAAACAACCAATAATATATATACGAGATAAATGGCCCATTGGGGGAGAGATACAATGTGCCATAGGTTGATAGTGTTGTCTCTTTTCTCTAAACCAAAACTAAAATCACAACAGACATGACTGCAGCCCCGCCAAAATCGGAACCATCCCGCCTTTTCACCTAAAAAAGTAATTTGTTACATCATTCCGATTTTTAATTCTGTTTTCCGATTTTTTTTTGAAAAAAAAAAAAGATAAAGAAAGGTAATAAATCGAACTGAAAATAAACCGGGAGTTATCTCCCCTAAACTTTCTCGAATATTTTTATATAAAATAACAGAGGATGGGAACTCGGGCTATAGACATGATTTTTAATCCATTTTAAATACTTAAAGTTTTAAAAATAGAATAAAACCTCGTAGACAAATTAATTGCACACCAAGTGAACGTGAAATAAAAAAGCGCATAATAGTGCTCAATATTATTAGTACTTTTAAAATTTACATTAGTTTTTTGAGAAATCGGAAGTAGCGTAAATTACTACTTCCGGTCAACGGAAATTACTCAAAATTTAACAGAAGGTAGAGAATTAGATCTTTTACTTACATGTGAAATTTCATTTATCTATCTGAAATAGTACTCAAGTTATAGGCTTTTGAAAAATTCAAAGTAGAAAAAGTACCACTTCCGGTTGTCGGAAATCGCTCAAAAGTTGATACGGATCTACGATTTTGATATAATACTTATATATGAAATTTCATCAACCTAGCTGTAACGGTACTCAAGTTATCGTGTTTACACACGGACACACACACAGACACACACAGACATACGGACAAGATTGCAAAATTATGTTTTTCCGTATCAGTGAGGTGTAAAACGTCGAGATTTGTAAAAATCTCGATTTTTTTTTTTTTCACCATTACAATACTTTCTCTATACTACGTATATACGAGAAAGTAAAAAGGCAGGGAAAAGCAACTATCTCCCTTTGGCACACGTTTCCGTTTCCGAGTTTATTTACAACTTACAATATTTATAAGGATCATCTAATACTAGACTAGATCTACTAATAGATAATGTGGACAATCTAGCTACTAAACGTTCTTTTTAGTATTTGCAATTGAGTTGCAGATTTAAATTATGCCTTAAATAACATGTAAGGAGATAAATACAATAAAATCATGACTAACGCTAATTTCTAGATCTAGATTAAGATAGTAGTAGTAGATCTACTATACTACTACTAGACTACTAGATTTAGATCTAGATTGTAAGTTACTAGATCTAGATCTACAAGTAGATACACAAATAGTTAATACTGATCTATCTTGTAAGTTGTAACTTAACTAGTAACTACTATTATGAAGAACTTAGTAAGAAGTAACTAGGACTTTTACTAGGTAGATCAAGGGTCTTAGCTCTTACTTATATTTTATATTACAAAGCCTTCAGCATTTGTTATTATTCATATAGCCTAGAACATAGCAAGGCATAAATAATCAAATCAATGTTATGTCAAAGCTATGGGTTTTATGGGGGGGGGGGGGGGTTGTCTCAGATTACTGATTTTTATTGTAATCTGACATTAAGCGGTATTTAAATGTAGCCTAGAGAATATTTTATATGACTAGAAGCCTACTAATGTCAGAGTAATCCTTAATTAACTATTTTTATTTTTTAACGTAAAGTAGCGCAGCGGGTATGTTCCTCTTTTTGGCTTCAATTATTATTCCCCTTTTTAGGCATGACTGTTCCTACTTTTGGCTGACAAGGGTAGTCATGTCTGTCACCACTTCAACTTCTAATTTAACCCGAAACAAAAAATGTCATTGAAAACTGATTTTTATCTATAATCGGCTTTTTAATCTGATTTAAGCTTGTTCTACACGTAGTTACTGCACATTGATATTAAATAGTCGTAGCCATACCCTATATCCTTGTACCTAATCTCAAACATGACAAAAGTCACATTTAGAGATTCTTTCAGGCTACTCTACCATCCCATCAACAAAATAGAATTATATAGAAACTATACTTTTACCAGTGTCCGCCCCCTCTCAGAAAATTTAGTCCACCCCCACCCTAAAAAATTTCAAGTACCCTCTCCGGGGAGGAAAAGGTCTGAAAGAAATACTGGTCGCATTTGTAGATCATACAGACTAAAAGGAGTGGAGCACTTGAATTTTTGTAGGGGAATACAATTCTCTGGGGGCAGGGGAGGCCAACACTGGTAAAAGTATATATTTACTATATAAATTATATTTTGTTTGGGGCGGGGGGTTAGATATTCTACCTGGTAAGGGGGTGGGAGAGGCTTTGTTATACCCGAAGAGATGCATGAAAGAAACTCTGCACGCAAAATACTTTTAAGATTATACAAATGAATTAGGCGGTAAAGTCAGTGTTTTTATTATAGAGTATCGATGACATTACTATTGTGTATTTTTTGGGCATTGGCTTTTTAGTTAAATGTTTACTCTAGAATAAATGGTGTCATATTATTGTGTGTACTTTCCCGGCTTTAGACCGTTTCCCACTATGTTCCATGTGACATCACGTTTCCTTTTCCATACTACTGTGCACATTTTAACTTTCACTGTGTTTTCTCTGTAGCGTTTCCAACAGATTGATACACACAGACAGCGGAACTATTATTATAGAGGAAGCTGAACATTACCCAGGAAATTACCCCCCCATTATTTCCCTTGACATTACATACCCCTCCTATAGGTTACAACTATACTCTAAAGCTAATATTACTTAGCCTTAATAGGTAAGGAATTAAAATCTGCTTCAACTTGCATTTTTGTTTCTATAAGTTCCATTTATTTAACCCCTTAACGCCTGAATTATGTTTCAAGCGTGTAAAAAATTATTTGTGCTGATTTTCTCTCATTATACTGACACTGAATTTAAGGTAAATAGTTGTTTTGAAATTTGGACATTTTTTATGCTGATTACGGTATGTTGCAAAGTCGCGACATCTAGCACTAATGGACCAAACAGTAATTTAATTTTTTTTTATTCCGGGTCATTTTACTATTTTTACTGACGTGTTTCTCTAAATATCCACGCACAAACAATAGAATATCACAAAATAAACATATGGACATGCAAGGGGTGTAGACTAACTAGTAAAATTCATGGAAACTATAGTTTAAGTTGTTCGGGAATAGAGTTACATAACTCTGCTGCACCTGCTCACTGTATACCTCTTATGCAAGAGTACTTTGAAGCATTGTTATCATGGTTCTACTACACTACATATAAAAGGACTTCCTCATGTGTATAGCCTTAGTTGTCCCTGGTTACACCCTTTTCGTGAACTCTTATTCAAGGTAAACTAATAAAGGCGCATATTTCTCATTTGACGTATATTTGCCATACACACAAAGCACATGAACAAATACTGTCCTAAATGACAGTGTCCAGCCGTTGTATATTCTTCGATGATCAATGAAGCTGCTGTTGGTACTCAGTGCCACTGGTTTAGGTACTCACTACTATTGTTGATGGTACCCAATGTTTCCAATTTCGGTTCTTTGTGTTACGGCTGTAGTACTCTAATGATAATGCTATTAATTACCAATGACAGTGCTGTAGCTACATTTTGCTACTGGTATGGGTACTCAGTGCTGAAACAGTGGGTACTGAGTGTTGAAACAGTGGGTAGTGAGTGTTGAAGCCATGTGTACTGAGTGCTGAAGCTGTGGCTACCCACTGTTGAAGCTGTGGCTACTCAGTGTTACTGCAGTCTGTTCCTGGTGTCACTGCTGTGGGTACTCAGCGATGGCGCTGTTAGTACTCAATAACATTGCTGTGGTGGCTCAGTCTTAGCAGTGGGTACTCAGTATCACTGCTAGAGCCAGGTGCTTAGTGCTGTAACTGTGATTGCTCAGTTTACTGATGTTGGTTATCAGTGCTGAAGATGTGGGTACTCAGTAACACTGCTGTCGGTACTAAATGCCAGTATAATGCCACTAATGTGGGTATTCAATAGCAAAGCAAGGGGTATTTTTGTCAGTATTCAACCTTATTATATTTATTACGAGGTGAGGGTCTATGCTCAGTGTTATTATTGTCAAGGTCACTGTGAAGACATTTTTTGTGTGGTATCCACCACCTCACTTCCTGATGTGTATTTGTTGCATGGACCGTAACATTCTAAAGTGATCTTTTATGTACAGGCGAAGACTATATTGTAAATCCTTTACTTATTTATAATCATACTTGTAGAAATTATAATTTGGCAAGGCATCTTATTTCTTTATACCAGCTTGGCACCCAAGTATAGTTCTATGTCTTGTTGCTGGATGTCGCAAAAAACGCGACAAACCGTAATCAGAAGATAATTTCCAAAATTATTCTTGTATCAGATTTATACTGTTTATATACATAAAACAGTGAATAATAAAGCTATTAGTATTTTTTTGTAGCAAAAACAGATCACCTATTTAGTAATAATAACCAATGTAAGTAGGCTGAATTCAAGAAGTCAAATTTTTTTCGATGCGCTGTAGTCAAGAATGTGATGTCATAAATTTCGACTTGACAATGTGACCATTGGTATCAATATGACCATCTGGATGTACCCAATACACAACGACCAGCAGCAGTTGGATAAATGTACCTATGTGCATATGCTATGCGCAAAATCGGTATGTCGCAAAAAAGCGATAGTCTGCATTAAGGGGTTAACTTCTATCTCTAAAGGCAGAGTAATATTTACTTTTCAAGCTACATTCTATCTTTGTGGACAGCAATGTTTATTATCTAAGGAATACACTGGAGAGAAAATGAAAAAAATGCTGAGTTTTTGTTCACAAAACAATAATTAAGTAGTTACCCCCATATCAACACCAAACTGAAGATCTGCTTTGTCTTTCTCAGACACCGCAGGCAAATCTACAGCTGTACCAGGAAGATTGCATCCTTTCTTGGATCCTAATACTCCACCATTTTCAATTTCACAAATTAAATAGTCAGTACCTAAAAGAAACAAAGTAAAATAGTAAATTGTGACAAAGAATAAAAAATAACATACTTAATAACTAAGGTGTTGCTCGAACTACTGTCCCTTTGGTAATGATGTTAGCCAAAAATTACCAAACATCTCTTTGTTTATTTACAATGTTAAAAACAATTCACTTATAAACTTCATTTCCAAGTTTAGTGTTTGCCATATTTTATACCTGCAGCTTGTCGTCGAAGAAAGGCTGATGCGATATTTTTAGAGGATTAGTAATTGTATGTTTTCAGACATGTAGGTGCCAAAGTACTCACTGGAAAGCCTGGGGCGCCGAATTGCACCCTGTAAGGGCTCGGCCCCTCCGAAATTAAACATTTTCCCCCCAAAGTAACCTTCCCAGAAGTATTTTCAACAACTTTCCAAAGTTTTAGATAAAATGTGTAGAAATGCATAAAAAAACAAGGTAATTAAAAAGTCTAGTGACAATTTTAGCGCAATTTCCTTATGTTATCTAAAAATAGCTCTGTCGTAGCGTAAATCAAGAGCAGGGTTAGTAAAACCATTGGTTAAAATACATGTTTTATTTACAATAGAGTTACATGACTAAAAACCATTGCGCGCCTAGCTACTGAACATTATGACGCAGCCATTGAACGTGATGGTGCAGCTATTGAACGTGATGACGCGTGTGGTGTGGTTGGAAAAAATGCCTACAAATTCGGTCCAAATTTTAATTAATTAAAAAAATTTTTTGTGACCGAATGAAAGGATATTTTTGAAAACTTTCTTCGGCAATATTGTTCTAAATTATGGCAGGAATCGATTGGTAAATGTTTCAAGTCGCTAAGTGGTCTGGTTGCCGAGATATGGGCCAAAAACTGCATTTTTTCGAGGTTGGCTTTTCCAGGAAATCCATGAAAGAAACCCGGAATTTTTTTGGCCTATGTTCATCCTGGTAACTTGCTTAACATAATTGCTTTTGGAACTAGACATCGATATTGCTTCGTTGAGGAGGAGATACGACTTAAAGCTGCGGACACACATCCATCCATCCATTCCCAGAAAAGACGAGTTAATAAACGCAATTCTCCAGAATGGAAATTACGCTAAAAAAAAAAGACTTATTTTCACTATATATATATATGTATGTATGTGTGAGTGTGCATAGATATTTTAAGTATTACCTTTTTCTTTGCAGATTACAGAGATAAGGCCATCATCTATGTAGACTCTAGAGCCAGGGTTCACAACTTTTACTATATTCTTGTAATCTACCCATAAGATATCTTTGTTACAATTGTCCATAAACGCATCATCTGTAGTAATTTTAATACTTTCCCCTGCAACCAAAACAGCCTCTCCAGTTCCACTCTGCCAAAAAATTTAAACAGACAAATATTTCAATCTCACACATCTATCCTAACGATTTCATTATTGGTAAGTTATATTTAATGAAAGTTTGAAAAATTATCATTCTAAACAGTGTAACCTTCACCATGTGTGGGTGTAATCACTTTTAAATGTCTGCCCTGTGAATACTATTTGGTGTGGTATATTGGGTCATCTACTAAAGCGACAAGAATAACACATTTTTAACAGACTTAGGTGAGTTATGGGACATTAAAAAATCACTGCCCCCCCCCCCCCCCCCCCGCGACAACATGAAATAAAACTTATAAGTACATGAGCTTTTATACTTATGACTGCTATAATAACTGGGAATTCAATCAAGGTACCATATGCTAATAGTTTTAGAGTATAAGTTAAATAGTTCTTGAACTTTTGGAGTTCACAATAAATAATTGAGTTTCTTTATTAAAATATTTTGAACCTTAAATATTTGATTTAAATCTGTGCTTTTAAGTGTCACAGATCATCTATTAATTTGAGAAAACTATCTAGAGCTACTGATAAGCTAGACTTAAGCCATTTTTCATCTGTCCGTAGATTGTATCTAAATTTAGAATCTTGCTTAAGGCCAATAACACAATGAACAAGTGAGTTTTGTAACTAAACTATTTTAGGCCTTAAATATTTTATATAAATCTTTGTTTTTTTAGCAATGGAATTGGCTAAATTAGTATATAATTTAATTTAAAATAATATTCACAGTTTTATTTTCCTCCGCTTGCAAAATAACGCAATATATTTATATCCAATTATATGTGCCTAGCTGGCAGAGATGATAGTGTAATAGAGACCACAAAGGTGGTACGGGTTCAAAACACATGTCAATTTTAAATTTGTATGTTTTACTTTTCCCTCATAGAAAATGCAGTGGGAAATCCCAACACACACGATTGGTTCTAATTCATTATTATTAGTTTGGAGTTAGCTTTAAAAATGTATGCATTTATTATTCAAATCTATAACTTTAAAAGGCAAAAACATGTAAGCTGAGGTTTGACTTCTTTTTTTTGTGAATGATAAAGTTGCCTTTTGGGACTGGACAGGTGAAGTAGAGTTGACTAGTTTCTGCGACCTCAGCATATGAAAGGATATTGTGGTCAGACCTAAGTTCAGCAGAAATTATTTTTAAAAGACAAAAATATGTCTGAAGTGTGACGATTTTAAAATGTGGGGGTCTGGCTTTTTGGGAAATGTGGCTTTTAAAAACTTAGAACCATAATCTTGTAAGACACTGCTTATTTCTATAATAAAAAAAACAGCCTCAAAAACTAATCATATTCCAGACTTTGAGCTCTCTGTCGTGTTGTGCTCATGTTATGTAATGAAGTATTTGGGTCCATGTGGACGTCCAAATGTTTAATTTAACATCAAAGTGCTTAATTAAATGTAAAGTGTATCTTAAAAAAGAAGACTTAAATATTATAAAAAGGTTGGTTTTCTAAATTCACAAGAATTACAAAATGAATTTAAAATTCAAAATACTACAATACTTACTCCATCAATAAGTCCAGTTCGAATCTCAGGTCCCTTAGTGTCTAGGGCTATGGCAATAGGCTTGGGTTCAGAAAAACCCTCCACAGCTTTACGAATATTTTCAATTGTTTCTCTGTGATACTAGAAATTTTTTTTTAATAAAGTTTATTAATTATTGGTGAGGGGCAAAAGCCTGCTCAATCTTTTAACTCTATGACTTGATTAAGCTAATTAAACAGATGTGACAAGGCAATGAAAACAAATTAGGAAATTATTTAAACCAGACTCTATACCCTTTATGCAGCTCTAATGTAAAGCAAGCACTCTTGGACCATTATTGTACTTATTAACAACTTGAAGTGGCCAATATCTAAAAATATGAATTTCTATTACTCTAAAACTCAGTGAACAACAAACTCATTAAAAACGTAATGATTTATTTGCACTTAATTGAAAATTTAATGATAAAGAGTTTTCTTTTTAACACGTTTTTATTAACTCAGCTTCGCGTTTGTGTGTTTGTTGTTAAAATTGACATTGAAAATTAGCCCACTTCTGATTGCTCTAGAGACCTGAAATTTGGCATGCATGCTACTTTCGCCTAACAATTTCAGATGCAATCATAAAAACTAGCAATTAGTGACCGTAATTAGCTTAATTTAATTACGCCCCAAGGACCATAAAATTGAGGACATGATTTCTAAAGATACCGACAAGACTAGAGGCCTATTGATACAGTTACTTCGGCCCCAATCGATGTGAGCGCGCTGGCCGTGATCGTATAGTGGTTAGTACTTCGCGTTGTGGCCGCGACAACCCAGGTTCGAATCCTGGTCGCTCAAGATTTTTTTTTAGTCCGTGTATTTATAAACACTTTTTTAAAAACCACATGTTTCATGTGTAGCAACGGACTAAAAAGGAGAAAATAAAATACTTAAAAAAAACTTTTTAAAAAACCACGTTTTTCTTGTGGACTAAAAAGTAGAAAATAATTTTTTCTTTTGTGCTTCCTCGAGCTGTGCAGGTTCTTGTGATGACTGACAAAAAACGTGGGTCGGGCAGATGGGTCGGGAAATTTGATGGTGAACGTACCCACGTTTTTTGTCAGTCATCACAAGAACCTGCACAGCTCGAGGAAGCACAAAAGAAAAAATTATTTTCTACTTTTTAGTCCACAAGAAAAACGTGGTTTTTTAAAAAGTTTTTTTAAGTATTTTATTAAAGATGGACATGGTACATGTTTAGAACATACAGCCCACCAAAAGTTACTTTTTATCTGGATACATTTTCTCCACAGAACATGTATACTTTGGCGTTCACTTTTCATATTATAGGAAAATGGTGTAGCCTTGGTGAATTAAACAATAAATTATCTAAGAATTAAACAACATGCAAGATTTTAGAAATTTTATTGCAGTATCTGCAACTGAGCTAGAAATAATTGTATCTATAATAGCACAGGTCTAAAACAATCACCTGCCACTACCTCTCCCTCCCATCCTGCAGTACAATTACCCATTCTCTCCCTACCTCAAACTCATGGTAGCCATGTCCCCAGCTTGATGTCACTGTATGATACTTAGTAACTGGAGAAGTGTTTAGTTATCTGATATAGGCCTACCTTCTCAGAATTACCAAATTACAAAGTTAAAATTAAAAAAAAAAACATTCACTAATTCACTACATGGGTGGAGAGGAATGTTTAGTAACAATGTATTTTATTTGCCTTTTTTAAAGTTGAAGTGGTTTAGAACTTATGTTGCTTCTTTGCTTGTTTATATCCTTCATAAACAGCATGCATTGTTTGAAATAAGAAGCATTTGTCTGCTGATTTCTTTGCATCTGCTAAGTTCATTAAAAATATTGAGATTGAATTAGTGGGACTACTAACAACTATTATTAAGAAGAGAAATATATTTAAGAATGAGCCTATGGCCTATGACACTATTTCATTTCTTTTTGTTGATTTCGTCCCATTTTAAACCTAAATGATTAGCCTAAAACATGTTTTTCTGCCTGTTTTTATAGTCAGTACAAGTGTGATCCACTGAGCACTTTTAGGTGGGACTATAGATTTATTCCTCTATCACAGGGGTCTCCAAACTACGGCCCGCAAGGTCCTCTCATCCAGCCCGCGGAGATATTTTTGTCCACGGAAAAAAACGATGGCTGAGGAACTTTGCTCAGAAAAATCACAACATGCCTGGAAGAAACTCTGGCCCCCAAACTGAAATTTGATAGTTAATGCGGCCCTCGGACTGAAAAGTTTGGAGACCCCTGCTCTATCAGATGGAAACAAAATATGGGTCAAGTAAATTAAAGAATAACCTTTTTAGCTGTATCAAACCCCACCAGTTTCATATGCACATTCACTGAATTCTTAAGGGCATGGACGGGTGATGAAAACGAAATTAGTCAAAATGCTTATTTCTAAACCTAATGATATAATACTTAACTTAAAATTTAGTCTAAAAATTAAAAAAATGGCTGAAAATTTCTTACCTTTGCCATGGTGATGGCGGCCATCTTGGATTTTATTTACTTTAACTACAACTATATCGTAGATATGATAGCATTATGTTTATAAAAAAGAATTTTGGCTAATTGGGTATTAATCACCCGCCCATTATGGTTTCATTGTCTGCAATGTCAAAACCAAATTGCAAATCATATGAGTCGGTGTGTGTCTTGACCTCCGCTGAACTCCTGAGACTGACTCACCGAACCCTTGGGGTTAGATCAAACCCAGGTTAAGCAGCACTGTTCATTAATTACAACCTAAACTGGTTTTAATGCACAACTGTAAAGCCTTAGTAATTTAAAAAATATTTTTAGTAGGGCCTAGTGAAGTTAAAATCTTAAAAAGTGTGTGCTCAAAAACTCAAGATTAGTATATTTAAGTTACATTTTGAAATCAGCCTACGTAAGAGCACTCAACATAAAATTCAGAACATGTCTAATTTTTTTGCTCAGCAAGCAAAATAAAAAACTTGACCCAGAACACAAAACATGTAAGTGTACGTTAAAGTTTGGTACACATTTGAAGTGTAAATGCTATGTTAGTCTTAAAATTTTAGAGCCTCATTGAAATTTTAACTTCTTCGTTCATGTGATGGACAATAAAGTAGACCAGAAAAGAATTAGATAGAGCATACTTTGCTGTTGCTTTTTTAATAATATTGGAAAATAAACTAAACATTTGAGACAAAAATAAATAGTTTGATAGTATCAAAGCCACAGTTTTTCATGCTTTTAAAAAATTCCTTAGATTGCCGTTACAGTATCCCACCCCCACCCACAAATAGAAAAAAAAATTTTTTTTGCAATAATGAAAAATGTAGAAATCCAATAAAATTCATACAGCCTACAGGTCACAACCCGATTTAATTAACTTACGTCATAACTCCTAACTCCCTTTAATTAACTTACGTCATAACTTCCATGTGAAAAGTTTAAGCGTGCAATATTCATTCCTTCTAATATCATTTTTTGAAGCATTTGAACATCTTTGGTTGAAGGTCCTGAAAAAGTGCAGTGTTACAAAAACTTAATACCAGCAAAATTAAAGAAGAAAACTTCAACTGGAAATAATAAGGACGGATGTGTGCAAAAAAGAAAACAAGTATAAAAGTACAAATCTGCCCTTTGTCATATGAGTGGTTGATTCTCAGGTGTGAAAACATAAGTAAATACAACCCACCTGACATACCAAGTATTATTGTTACTAATTAATTTCATTGCTCCCCTTTTACTTTCTCTTATATGTAGTATAGAGGAAGTATTGTAATTGTGCAAATCAAGATTTTCACAGATCTCGATGCTTTACACCTCCCTGAGTCAGAAAAAACAGTTTTGCAATTTTGTCTGTTTGTCTATGTGTGTGTATGTCTGTAAACACGACAACTTGAGTTCCTATATAAATATATGAGTTCCTCTATAAGTATTATATGAAATTTGTTGTTCTGTATCAACTTTACAGCGATTTCCAGTAACAGGATGTGGAACTTATTCTACTTTCAATTTTTCAAAAGCCTATAACTTGAGTACTATTTTAGATAGATAAATGAAATCTCACATGTAAATAAAAAATCTAATTCTCCACCTTCTATCAAAATTTGAGTAATTAAAGTAATTAAAAATAAAGGCCCGATTAAAATAAGTCCCCTATACTTAGTATATGATGAAGTACTGACGTGTAAATCGAAAACTGTCAAAATTTCATGTTATTTTTGTGCAGAATTAGATTACTTACTCTATATCGTGTATAAGAGAAAGTAAAAATGGATTAAAAATCATGTCTATATCCCGAGTTGCCATCCCCCGTATTGTTATATAAGAATATACAAGAAAGTTATGGGGAGATAACTTCAGGTTTATTATACTTAATATTGGAATCCATACAATTTTTAATGATTAATATATTATTTAATAAATATAATAATTATAATAAAAACTAGATATTTTCGCGCTGCCATTGGAGACTAAAATGCATTTACAAAGTTTTATAAAAAATTTTGTATCAAAACCCACAAACCTAGTGAGCCAATTAAAACAGAAGAAATCTAAAAATTGTTCTAACCTGTACCGAAATTATATTTCTGTTAAAGAAATTTTATAATAATATACAATTAAACTATACATTGAAGGGAAAAGGATAAAACAATAGGTACTAACCAATAGTGCAAATAATCCCGGTCATGCGAACTTGCCCAGGCTCGGAATCTATGTCCAAGGCACACATGTGCTCAAGTCTAGAATTGGCATTTGCAGCATGAAGTTGTTGATTTTGGACGTAATAGTCCCCTTTATATTCTACGTCCTTCAAATTGAACTGGTAAGATATAAAATCTATGTATAATCAGCTGTAAAATATAAGCACATTTTTTTTTCAACTTTTGTATCTTTAGTTTGTTTTTAAAAAGTGGATGTGGTTAAGAGGAAGACTGCTTAAGAAGTTTAATGCATTTCTGAATGGTGCCTTTGGTTCATAAACTGAAAAATATAATAGGATAAAAATTGTAAAAAATAATTTCAAGAATCTCCTTTTAATATCTTTTGTCTAATAGTTTACTACATGTAAGTTTCATAACACAGAGAAAAATTGCACTTTTATCATAAATGTTGAATGTACTGAACACAACTTTTTCTAAAATTTGTTGCCATGTTTTAATTTTTGTTAAAAATTTCAACAGATTAAGAAATATATTGAATTGGAAAGGTAAGAACTTCAAACAAAAATGGTATATGAGAAACTTGCTAAGTTCACACTTTAACAATGATATCCGAAGGTTTATAAAAATAGGTGGCTACTTGGCCAACAATATTTGACAGATGCTACTTAGATCAAATCTAGAAGACAATATACAATGTTACCTCAAAAGTTTAATGTTTCATAAGATTGTTTTGTACAACAAATTGCTCTTATTTCAATATTTCAAAGCAATTTCCACTTGAAGTCAATTGAAATGCCATTACTCCATTCGTCTCTTAAAATGCCACCCATTTTGCTTTTGTTATGGGTTTTTAATAAGAAAATGTATTTACAAATAAACAATGTATAAAACAAAAGAATTTTAAAGAAATAAAATTATTTAATAAAGAGTATATATTCTTAAAAATAAAAAATCAGCCTCTTTACTTCACTTATACATTACACTCTTAATGCTTCACTTATCACTGTCACCACTGCTGAGTTATGGGCCTCTAACCTATTTTCTCAGCTTGACTTCACATGTAGCTCAACTTTGTAGTTTCAACATCAATGTTGCTTTAACATGTGTTTCTAGGTGTACATATTTTTTTTGTTTTCTTTGTGGGGTCCACCTCAACGCCTGCCTGGTGACATTGATTGGCAATCTGTTCCCTATCCAACCCCATCTTTTTTCTGATTTCTTTATGAACAGAAAGTTGTCCTATTATTTCTCAAGGGTGTGATGATAGTGTCAGGCCAACAGATCCTCAGCATTTTTAAGAGGCAGCTGTTTATGAAGAGATCTGAACTTAACCAAAGTTCACTGAACATAAATGAAATTCTATAAGAATTAAGTCTATGCCTTGCTCTTCACAGGCCTATAAACAAAAACTGTCAAAGAGGTTTGTTACTTCCTGCCTATCAATATGTTGGGGAGAAAAGTTAGGCAAGTGTTATCAAGTAACAGCAATACTTGACTGGCTGCAACTTTTTCAACATGTTACTGTACAGTAATCTATGAAACCTGCAGATCTTATTCCTTGGATTACATTTTTTTAATTGCACACCAAATGAACGCAGTGAAATGACATTACAGCATCATAAAATAAGTACTTTTAATTAGTGATAGTTACAGTTTTAAAAATGAATTTATCATACAACTCAACTTTTATGTAATAATTCATTATCATCGAGTCTTGTCAAGTTTTAAAAGCATTTAAAATTTTGCTTACAATTTTCTACCCATGACTAAGCAAGTAAAATGTACAGAAGAGGAATCAAGTTAATGAAAAAAGATTGTAAAACTTCTTTTTAAAGCAACGTTGAAGCTATCGTATCTTGGTTACAGAAAAAAATGAATTTATTGTCAAAATCATACTAAACAATCATGTAGTTCAAATTCACATTTAACACAATATTTTAAGTGTATGAATAAAACAAAATGTATGTAAAATATTTCTCATTTTTAATCCTTAACTATATGGAAAATGTATTTATCATTCATTCAATTATCTAAATATTTGATCCATGTCATTTCTTTAAATAAGTGAAATTATACATGTTTCTTTGAAAAATTGCATACATTCAAATTGATGAAAACTTAAAATAAGGGGCAATTAATATTTTTTTTATTCTTCATTCTATATAGAAATGACAATTGACTTAATGCTTACTTCTAATTTGGCAAGTTTTTAAAAACCAAAGCTGGATAAATTTAAGCAGAAGATTAAGTAATAAAAATTAAATAGTTTATAAAATATTTAACTTTTTATCAAAACTATATAATTTAGATAAACACATAAAAAAAAAGGTCTTAATTTAACTTTTTATCAAAACTATATAATTTAGATAAACACGTAAAAAAATGAGGTCTTAATGGCAGTCTCCCTGTTAACCCAAATGGGAATTGATAATAGCCATTCAAAATTGTAAAAAGAGCAGTACAGCTAATGGGAACTGAAAAGTTTTTTCGTTCTAAATTTTAAAAAAAAGACATGGTAACCTAGGGACAATAGGGATTTAAAAAATTAATTTTTGTTACATATTAAACTTAATCAAGTTAAAAGGCAAAATTCTATTGCAGTATTTTGAATGAAAAACATGAATTCTCAGACCTCTGCAGATAAAGTTAGTTGTATAGATTTTTATTTAGATTTTATTGTCAGTTTCCAATTAATACAGTTGACAAATGTAACATCTTTTTTCTATCAATTAATAACCTTAAAAAGACTACCCAAAAGATAAAGGCAAATTAGATAAATGTTAGGCACGGTTAGGAGAAGGATAGTGAAAATATGATCAAATTAAAAGGAGGAGGGATATATGATGTTAAAACTCTTACCGAATCTTTATGGGATGAAATATCAATCTGACAACAAATTTAACATGCATATTTTAATTTAAGATTTAAAACAAAACATTCTATCCACTTATGGATATCAACTAGTTTAAATAGTAGACCACAATCTCAATGCTTTTATTTTGCAAGTCATCCTTAGGTACACACTTTTTTAAAAACACCATCAAACAATTCAACATATTTTTCATAAAACAATACCTTTTTTTAAAAGGTATATAAATTGCACAATATGTTGCATAAGATAGTTACAATGTTTATAACTTAAGCATTACAACATCAATAAAAAAAAGTGTGCAATTTATTAAGGGGTTTTATATTTATGGAAAAATTAATTTTTAGAGTTTACTGAGAATGTCTACATAATTACCCCATAATAATTTAAACTTCCAATATCCAAATCTAATGGCCTATGATGTGTCTGTGTACAAAGTATTTATATTTAGGTTGCTATTTTTATGGAAATGTCTTTTTAGAATGTGTTGAAAGAAAATTTCTAAGAGATGTAAATGGAGGGAGGCAGCCACCTGAGGACTAACCGTTTAAGTTAAATAAGTTTTTATTTCTCTCAATTTAAAGTGATTCTTAAAGGACAACATCGTTTTATAATAGCCCTTTAAGTTATAATCTCCCGGTACAATAAGCATTAGGCATATGATTGCTTGCTTTGTAAGTCCTAATACTGCACTTCGCATACTGCTAAAGCCACTAGGCCTACTTCTGAAACCAGAACAACCTGACAGCTGTTACTGCTTCGTGTTTTTTGTTCAACATAACCTATAAACCATTACGCCTATATGTCAAAACAAATAAAACAGACCAAATTAGTGCGCAACTGCAAGGAAACACTTTCTTCTTTTTTTTCATTAGTCTAGATGAGACTTAATCTATGAACTTGATTTTGGACTACTTTTTAAAGCTCAAGCCCAGACAACCCTAACTTACACAACTCTTTTCGATAATATCCGTGAATATTTTAGTCTTATCCACTTCCTCTTTCCATGTGGATTACACATCAGTGCCTGTCTGATGGAGCATTGACTGTTTTTCTGATGGTGTGCCTTACCACCTCTTTTTTCTTTCTGTTTGTCCTCTAATATTTTGTCCTCTGCATACTTCCCACAGAAGAAAATCACAAATGTCTGGCTAATGCAATTCCAAGATCTGTATCAAAGACTTGTTTAATAAGCCATGTAGCTTGTATATTGTTCTTTATATCACTCAGTCATATAGCAAAACGGACTTCACTTTTAGCCAAGATTTTGGTTTTGCACATGAAATCCACACATTCTTTGACAAATTAAAAGCATTTCTGACTTGCATGTTCTAATATTTTGGTCAGTACACTATTACACAGAAAGCAACAATAAAACTGGCTTCCCAAACTTGACTATCATGAAATAGAGAAGCCAAAACTAGTATTGCATAAAGTTGTTGTCAGACATGACTTAACTAAACTTAGAAACACAAAAGTAGCTTATGAGACAAATCATTAAAATACACTGAAAATTATTTTGACTTCTTTCATGGCCATGGAACTTGTGAATGTCAGAGACTTGATATAACAGGATGTTTCAGCTAGAGAGTACATCATTGGTTCTCATGTCGGTTGGGCAGAAAATAGAGTTCAAATGTTTCGATGATCAGGGTATGAAGGGATAGTGTTGTCAAATCTACCCCATGCAGTTTTACTTTCCCTAATGCACGTGGACTCGGAATCAGCCTGTGTCAAAATTCAAGACTTTCATGTTACAAATTGTACACTTAACAATTTGACCATTTCTTCCCATTGCAAATATATAGATTCTGATTCTGGTAAAAATTGCCATGTTTGAAAAATTCCACAATGTAGTAGATAATCTGCAGGTGAAATAAATGAAAATCTGAAAAAGAAAAACTAACTCCATAGCTACTTCCCTGAGCTGACAAGAAAAAAAAAAATGACTACAATGACTTGAAAACTTTTCTATGCATTTGTAGATATGGCCAGCTTCCCTGATGAACAACAACATGATTATTAGTATTTGCAGTATAATTCCCTGGAAATGAAAAATAGTTTAAACTATTCTGGTGTTGTAGGTATAATACAAACCAAAAAGTAACAATGTCTTTTGAGTTTTAGTTCAACTGTCTTCATATCTTTGCAAGACTGGATTTTAAACTCAAATTACTTTCATTAGGCCTAATTTATATGATTTATAACATATATTTCAATTAAGTAAGACAATAATTGATTGGCTGGATAGAAATTCGGTGATTGGTCTTTTGAAAACACCTGTTAGTTTTCAACCTTTGATGATACTTTTTAAAACAAAATTTCCTTTTTACAAACTTTTATTTAACTTGCTTCCTCTGTCATCATAGGTCAAAATGCTCGAGTGGAATTTTGAGCACTTCTAACTGACAGATTTGATTCAAATTTGGCACGTCAACACTTGAAGACAATGCAATACAACATTGAATTGGATGACTAATTTATTTTTAATGTATTAATTAAAATTTTCTGAAATTAGAAGGCAGTCTTGTGCTACTCTCTCTCTGCACTATAATACCCATGACCTAATTATGACCTAATTAAGCCATGTTTATTTTCATTTTTTGGCTTTTTAAAATTTGTTTAGTTTTCAAAAATACTAAAAGCATCAAATAGATCCAATCTTTAGTAAAGTCTTCCAAAAATCTCATAATAAGTTTTTATAATCATATTTTAATAACAGCATACAGTTTTATAAATATTTAATGAATCATTCAATTCTTTTCTTATTAGTTTAGGCTATTATAGATAACAGCAAAAAAAACTGTAAACCTGTATTTCAGTAATGGGTCAATGACCTGTATTAAATCACTGATGAATGTATATATATATTCTTAAGTGTACATTTTACACTCTGTTGAATAACACAAAATGTAACCTATCAAGGTCATTAACTGGAAGGCTGAGAAAATAAGTATTCAAATAGGTGCTTTTATATAATATTGTAACTAACAAAATTTTGTAGTCTAGAATGTGATTAATCCTTTTTGAAATAAATTTAAATATTTTCATTATCATGAACACATTTTTAGCTAAAAATAGAAATTTGTTTTAAATGCATACATCTAATAGTGTTATAAACTAAGTAGTAACATAGGTCTTTAATATTAAAATAAGTTAGAACCTAACAGAAGTATTTACAATAAAATGGTAATTTTTGTTATGTGCAATTAGAAATCTCAAATCAAATGTATCATCTTCAATGGTACCAAAGTTAAATAAGGTGATATTTTTAAAAATTAAGCAGTTTTTATAAATCCACAAATGTTATGCTACTACTAGCCTACCCATCTCATGTTAATCTAGTTGTTTAGCCAAGAGTCTTAACTGAATTAATTTCGATGGGAGCTTTTCATAAGGTACCTTGTTGTCTTAAGGTTAGGAGTCAGTGACTGTCAGGGCAAGCTTGACAAATCATGCTGAATTGTTGATGTAGGTTTTCTTTAACAATGGGCTCCTTATAGTTTGTTAAGTTCTTCCAAACAACGATCATAAAGAGCTACCACACAAACAAGTTTTTTTAGCTGTCAACAGTGAAAACAAACAACAGATATAGTAACTTAGGGCTCACAGCCTTTTTTCATTCATGGGCAAATACTATTACTTGATGAATACTTTGCCAAACTCATTAATATATATAATTCTCTTCATGGAGACCATAGAAAACACCACGCAGCTTAGCCACCACCCTCATCCCCACCTGTCAGGTGAGCTGCGGTTCACCCCGAATGTTTACAATAGTAGAGCCGGTTCAAATAAGTGACAGCTATTAGGGGCAGATAATTTAGTTTTTAAACGATTTGAAACTAAGGGGAGATATTAAGTTCTGCTTGATATTTTCATTGTAAACGGCTGCTTTCACTAGGCAGGGTAGTGAGGTAGTCTCGAATTCACAAATTATGAATTGTTGACAAGTAGAAAATAAAACAACTAGATGGCATATGCTACATCGCGGGTCAGCTCGTTTATATTATTACACTAGCGTACCTGTCCCAGCGGCATAAGAAAGTCTGATGAAATATTTAAGAAGGTTTTCATCAAAGCGTTACCAATACTATGTTTCAAGACGCGTGACCTTGTTTTCTAAAACTGTAAATGTAAACAATGCAAAGGCTTGTATCATAAATATAGGGACACGGGTTTACCTACAATACCAACACTGCCGCATGAAAACCTTACGTTAATCACTCACCAAAATAATCAAGTAGAACACACTTCGGTGACCGACCATGTGTCAGGGACATAGAGGGGCGCTCTCGGAAGCCCTAGATTACTCTAACGCTGAGGTGCCGCGTACTACCCCTGGCTACACCTAACATAGGCGCCGTAGTGCTTACAGAATAACCCAGAGCGCCAAATAGCATTCGGAAACAATGATGCAGATTGCGTCGATCGCTTAAGTGACACAAGTCAACAGGATGTTTTCTTTAACACGTAGAAAAATGAATATTTGACGTGTTATAAACATCAGTGTGGCTGATGTAATTTGTTAGCGTTACTAATGGTGTTATTATTTCTGATTGGATCTTTTAAAAGTAAATGCTAATTGCATCATTTGCAAAGTGACGAAACTGTACAGAAGGATTTCCTCGCGTTACAAAGTTATTTTTAGAAGTGTGACTTTTCATTTTGATTTGAGTAGCCCTTCTAAACTTAATTTTTTACGGAAATATTTTCATTATTTTGAGAACTGTAGGCTTTGGAATTGTTTGGATTTTTTACGGACAAATAGAAACAACCCAGTGTTAATAATCTAACCTTGGTTAATTTTCCTGATTATTAAAAAAAAAGTATTACAGGGCCCTCAGCAGCCCGCGTGAGCCTGTGAGGCCCGAAACTGAATTTTTTGTTTACAGCCAGATCGCACCCTACTAGGACGCCGGCTGACTCGCCTGATTCAATTTATTGAGCGACTGTAATGGCCCATCTTATCTATTGTCTACTACACTGTTTAGAACAAACGTAGGTGCCATAGCGTTCACGGGAAAGCCCAGGCCGCCAAATTGAACCCTGCAGGTGCGCCGGAGGACGTGCCTGGTTTGTTATAGTCAACGATTATTGTTGCCCGTCGTGTCTTTAGTGTATAGCCTTTTTTAATGAACGTAGGCGCCATAGCGTTCGCAGGGGAGCCTGGAGCTCTTCGGGTCGTGCAATCTACAGGACACGACGGTTGCGCCTCTTGAAGTTTTAACGCGGAGTATAGTATTACTGCTTACCCGCTATGAAGGGCGCACGATCAGCAGATACCATGTGCTAACATAGCCGCTCTGTAACTCTGGGCGCCAAATTCTGTTTGCACCCTCACAGGCACCACACATATCATTTTTTCATTATTTTGTTCACAGAAACCTTCTCGGGAGTATTCTCATCAACTCCCCCAAAGTTTCATGGCACACGGATGAAAGGTGTCGAACGGCATCTAACTTTTATTTTTATATACCATATATAGAGAAAAACGAACCCTCCTGAGGCGGCGCCTTGCGAAATTACAGAAGATTGATACCGATCGGATGAATGGTGTGAAAATGCAATAGACTTATTTTTTATATACAGAATTTAATGAAAAATTGCACCCTCTTGTGGCGCCGCCCTTGCGAAATTAAAAAAAAATATTTTTTGCAGGAACCCTTTCAGATAGCGTTCTAATCAACTCCCCAAAGTCTCATGACTATCGGATGAACGGTGTCAAACCAAAATTTACTTTTATTTTTAAATATCCTACACAGAGAAAAAAATCGCACCCTCCCGTGGCGCCGCCCTTGCGAAATTAAAAATGATTTTTTTTACGGATCCCTTCCCCAGAGTGTTCTAATGAACTCACCAAAGTTTGATGGCGATCGAATGAATGGTGTCAAACCAGAGTCGACTTTATTTTGTATGCCGAACATAGAGAAAAATCAAACCCACCTGGGGCGCCACCCTCGTGAAATTAAGAGATTTTTTTATGCATAAACCTCCCCTGGGGTGTTCTAATCAACTCACCAGAGTTTTATGGTGATGGGATGAACTGTGTCAAACTTCAATCGACTTTTATTTTTTATATACCATACATAGAGGGGGAAAAAATCGCGCCCTATTGGGCGCCATCCCGAAAAATATTTACAACAACTTCCCAAAGTTTCACAGCGATGTGATGAGAGGTGTAGTAATGCATAAAAGACAAACAAACAGACACACACACATACATACATTGCTTTTTATATATATAGATAAACATTTTTCACTATGTTTCAGGCAGATCTTTGGCACCAAGCTTTTTGATGATACAAAAATAAATCACGAAATCAAACCTTGATAAGAACACTGAGCAAGTACAAATAACAGAATTTAGATTTGTTTTGAAATTATTAGTAAGTACATAATTCTTTTCTAGAAGTATAATTGCTGCATGAGTAGACAGGTTTTTTTATACTAACAACCTAAAAAAATTTGTTTACCGTAGACTTGTTAACCATTGAAGCATTTCTTGGGAAATGAGAGGGCAGCAACGGTATGTGACCACTAGATCCAGGTTTGGCCAACATCTGTGCCATCTACAAAAATGTAAAAAATTGCTTTAATCGTAAGTGCAAAGAGAAAGTAAAATGAAAATTGAATGCCAATTAAATCCCACTTTTGTTGGCCTCAGTTAACTAGCAAACCCAGTTATTTCTGAAGAGGTAGCTAATGAAAATGCTTTAGTTTACAGGCATATGTGCCCTCGGCAGCTTGATATAATTTTTTTTAGCAGGAAGCAGTCTGGTGTGCCCACGACTGTGTATAGTACATTTATTTACATGTAGTAGCACATATATTGTTGATTTTCAACGATGTTTCATACTTATCCAGCGGCTTCTATATCCTCCACCCCAAGGGGTCACTAAATGCTAGACTGCGCTTTTAAAAAAGATTGCAGTTCTACTCCATCAAACCCTAAATAACCATTTCTAACGAAAATGAACATAATTTTTATTATTTAAAAGTATATGTTGCTGTAAATCTATCCCGCTCCCCCTCCAAGAAAAAACCTAGTGTGATACCATTTCGCTTACCCACAACCAGACTGTTTTTTAAATTCTTAATCCGCCAAGGTATCATGCGGGGGGGGGGGGGGGGGGGGGAGAGAGAGAGGAGGAGATAGTCTCAGATCCCTCATTATAATTACACAACAATTCAATTTCCCTTAAGAAATAAGGAAAACAGCAGAAGTTTAAAGACAACCACATTTGACAACAAATAACACAATAGACATACAAACAGAAAATTGTCAAGAAGAAACTAATTTTTATTTACTCATAGTTGTCTCAAACACTGATGTTAGAAGTTCATTATTGGTTTGGCCCCTGATTGTAATTTGTTATTCAATCGACATAACCGTGAATACTTCATTATTGTTGACATGGATAAAAAACATGTTATAGAACTTTAGTAAATCTAATCGTCTTATTTTACTAGATCTAGAATCTAGTTGTAGCAAATCGACTGCAAGTTTTTTCTGTTTTTTTAAAAAAAAACAATTAATACACACAACTTTATTAATAATATTTAGATCTACTACTGTTACTAATTTTCAGTCAATTAAACTTTAAATTATGTTTAAACAATTCAATGCAGTTGACTTTATATTTTTTCAACGGTCAATTAAATATGGTTAACAGTAACGAATGTTAACGAAACTCAACAAATATTACCGGTGCTATATCATGAGATTACCTGTTTTAGGTGCATAAAATTGTCTGAGGCTAGTAATGTGAAAAAAGGTCTCATTAAATTTTAGTAGGCCTAATTATTTCATATTTTTAGAAGGCTTTATGGTTTGAAAGTTTCATTCAAGTACCCAGTTTTAAACAATTGTATTTAAACTTTTCAGCAATAAAGATTAGCTATGTTTTCATCAAATGCAATCTAGCTCAATTACTTTTTGCCGCGATCTTAAGTTTTTTGGTAACATTTTAGTTAGATTCAAGGGAAACCACTCTAATTTACATAATATATAGTAGGGATTTTGGTTTTAAAAAAAAAACACTTATCATAATAAAAAATAAAAATTACATATTCTTGTAGAGCTCAACCTTATGAAAACAAAACAAGATTTTTAAAGATTCAGACCTTTATCAGCTAGAATTATGAAATTTTAAAATCAAATATTCTGTTATTTCACATTAAACCATGACAAGCCATATGTATACTACTAAAACTCAAGTTTGTTTACATGTTTGAATATTTGTTTGTTTGTTTGATTTGGTACTGTAAGGAAACTGCTCTATATGGGGAGCTGTAAAATAGTATGTAGGTAGAGAACAATTTTTGATTGCAGACAGTTAATCACACATTTATTGACGTTAATTAATTGATTTATTCATAGGTAGAATAACCACAATAATTTTAAAGTTTTAGAACAATGGCTTAACTTTGACTGAATAGTGACGTTTGATAACTCATTTTTTGTTTTTTTTTCTGATTTGTTATTGGGGAGAATATGCATTATGTGTAGAGCTGTAAAATAGGATTTTGGGTGGTAAATATTGTTCCTTCTTAAACGCACTGTTAATTACAAACTAATTGAAAGCCCTTAATTTATTGATATATTCATAGGTAGATTAACCACATTAATTATAAAATTTAAAACAATGACTTTAGTAATAGTAAAAGGATTTATATTCTTTTTAACAACGTTTTCAATTATTTTTTTCTTAAGGCCTATATGTGAATGATAAGGTTGAATAAGGGCAGGTGAAGTAGAGTTCACCTGTTTCTATGTTCTCAGCATATGAAGGGATAGTGTGGTCAGAGCCATGCTTGGCCGGAATCGTTTTTTTTTTTAAATTCAAACATGTCTGAGACTTGGCGGGACACTGGGCAGGTGAAGTAGAGTTTAGTAGAGTTTTTAAAATATAAAAAACGTCTTTTTTAATGTGGGGTCTGGTTATTTTGAGATAAGTGCTGACAGACGTGATGTCATTTATGGATGACCCCCGAAACCCACAGTTATCTAACTAGATAACGGGTAGTCTAGTACCCTTTAAAAGATCATTAAGACCACATTTAATTATCTAGCTTACTCAGGTGCCAAGAAATTTTTTTTATCCAAAATGCAAACATGAAAGCCAAAAACCACATTTTGTCTCCCAGCCGGCATGTCATGAATTTGTGTACACAAGTTTTAAAATATGTTAATAAGCCTAGATCTAGCTATTGGTAAGGGAAAATATACATAACAAATTCTACTCTAGATGTTATTCATACCATTTTAATAAATATTGAACACTTGCTTAAATCATAAAACCATAAAAAAAGACCATCTTTTTATTTGAAAATCTAATTTTAAATATGGGAAGACAATATTCATGCTTAAAATAATATGATAGTCTATAAAAACAAATACATTTTACACTCAATTCACATTATATTGAGTCAACAATTTCGCAGCTGAAGTTCATAGACGGTATTAGTCTTTGTTACATTTCTTTTTTTTTTCATATTGAAAACATGACGTGTTATTTTAAAAAAAAATAAAATCACATATCCTCGCTCGCGTGATTGCTTGCTTACATTTACTATCCTGTGGGTGAATAATCCAACCACGGTCGGTGGGGTCACTGTGAGTTCAGCAGGCCTATAGTACAAGTCATAGAATGAACACAAGTTCACGAGATCGTAGGTATCTTCACTTCGCTCCCCCCCCCCCCATTCAAGCAAATTGAAAAACAGACCTACTTTGCTACTTCTGGTCATTTTTTAAGTTCGCATAGGGTTAATAATATAGACTTTATATAGACTTAGATCAACTATAACGCATGCTAGACAGCTGTGAAAACAATTTACTAAAGAGCAGTTTGATTTAGCTAGATCTAGGACTATCATCCTGATACCTTTTTTTGATCGCATGCTACCTAGGGTGAAGATTTAGCGTAATGCTGAGCGAACCGCGCAAATGCTGCCTAAACTAATTAATACATTTTTTTATTATAACAGAGTTGAGCTGAATGGATACAAAGCTAAGACTAATTTTAAAACACAAAAGGCACACATTAATTTTAAACTCTTAAAAGATAAAGCAAATGTAGTTTAATGTAGTAAGGTAAAGTAATTTAAATATTCAATTTAAACTTGAAGTAGATCTATCTTGATAAAATCTGTCATGGAAAAAAAAGATACAAGCTCTCCATCCTGTACTTATACCAATTGTAATTTTAACAAAAATGATGCTCGCGCAAAAAAAAATTTTTTAAACTAGATCTAGGCCTAGCTTAAAAAAAAAATTACGCTAAAATGCCGTAAACAGATTATAGGCCATTGAACGAGCATTGTTTAAAATATGCAGCAATGACAAAGGCTAACGGCTGATCAATTAAGTCTAAAAATCGCCCGTAATTAAGCCGAGTTCTGAAATAGCATCATTAGAAATACTATACATTTCATACAAATAATATAGACAAATAGGCTACGCAGCCTCGGTAAACCACTGGACATGAATTAAATTCGATGCAGCTACTGCCTGCCTACAGTGAAGAAAAAAATCAATATACTAAAAAAATTACGAATACAATAATAATGCCCATAATTTTTCTTCTGCACATGCTAAAATTGAATTATAATTAAAATACTAGACTTAACAGTTCATTCCACAAAAAACACAAAAACTAGCATAACAATAACATAATGATACTAAAAATAGCGGACAGAAATGTCTGCATGGGTACCTCATATGGAAATTCGAAATAAAAAAGTGGAATCAACATAACTATAATTAGGGTATCCCTGTTACTTACAAAGAGATTAGTAAACTAACAAGATTCTAGATCTATTGACCTAATTTTAGTAGCCTAATTTAAATTATTATTAAAAAGTAGGCCTATTATTAGTATTATTATTATGGCCTATGGTACCGCCTATATATAATATATACTGGCCTATAGTATTTCATAGTCTATAGTATATATGGCCTAATCATTATAAATATCTCAATTCTAATATATTACTACTTTTGTACCAGGGGGTTTTGACCATGTACCGGGACGTTTAAAGCGGCAGTTCAGTTTTTCCCATGAGTACTCGACAAGAATAGCGAGCATTAATTAAAACCACACCTTCTGGGGAATTTTTTGGCCATTTTAAGGCATGACATCCATTTATTTAGCATCTCGCATTAAAATGATGAGATTTTGCTAGATTAGCAGTTTTTTCATTTGTCATGTAGGCCAGGGGTTCCCAACCCCGTGCCCGCCGAACGATTGGGATGTGCCCGCCTCTCAGTATTCGACAGAGACAGAATTTTTTTCATAAACATTATTGAAGGGGATGGAAATCGAAAGTTTGAGGGGGGGGGGGTGCAAATTGAAAATTTGAGGGGGGGGGTACAAATCGAAAGTTTTGTCTCCGGGTGACGGGAAGGGTCGCTACGCCTCTGAAAGGAGTTTGTCGATTTATAAAAGGTGGTGCCCGCCACCCTACCGATATTTTAGAATGTGCTCTAGAGTAAAAAAAGGTTGGGAACCCCTGATGTAGGCTATAGGATCCCTAAAAAAAAACCCGACACATGTCGTTCAGGGTC